AAGAAGAGAAGGAAAGAGGGAGTGAAAGAAGGAGAGAAAGAGGGAAGGCTGGCCACAGCAACGCGTGGCAGAACAGCTAGTGTATAAATAAAAATGTAATGTTCGTTTGTGGGATTAACATAACTCAAAAACCACTGGACGAATTGCTGCCAAATTTGGCCACAAGACACCTACTAACCCAAGAAACGGCCATCACTAAAAAAAATAATTGAATTTGGCATTTGGGAGTCATAGTTGCTGGGATTTATAGTACACCTACACTCAATGAGCATTCCGAACTCCACCAATGACAGAATTGAACCAAATGTGGTACACAGGACTCCCACACCCAATAGAAAACACTAGAAGGGTTTGGTGGGCATTGACCTTGAGTTTCAGAGTTGTAGTTCATCTACATCCAGAGAGCACTGTGGACTCAAACAATGATGGATCTGGACCAAACTTGGCACAAATATTCCATATATCCAAATATGAACACAGGTGGACTTTGGGGGGAATAGACCTTGACACTTGGGAATTTAAGTTGCTGGGATTTATAACTATCCTAAAATCAAAGAGCATTCTAAACCCCACCAATGACAGAATTGGGGCAAACTTCCCACACAGATCCCACACAGAGGGAATGCCCTACCCGCAGACATCAGGCAGGCCCCTTCGTTGCTGGAGTTCCGGAGGAAGGTCAAGACGTGGCTCTATGAACAGGCGTTCGGTCAACAAGGCAACTGAACTCATGAAGACGGTATAAATGAACAAGGAATGGTAGAAGGATTATGAGAACGGAATCTGATTTTTACTGAGGCGTTGATGACCACGTTGTTTGTCTTGTATTGTCTGTCGTGTATGTTGTGTTTTAACTAATTGTTATTGTTATATAAATTGCATTGTAAACTGCATTGAGTCGCCGAATTAGGCTGAAAAATGCGGTATAAAAATAAAGCAAATAAATAAATAAATAAATCCCCCATGACCAATAGAAAATACTTAAGGCAATCCAGTCCAACTCCCTTCACCAGGGCAAGAAAACATAATCAAGGCCCTCCTGACAAAGAGCCATCCAGCCATAGATATAGATATATATGATTCACACAGAGATATAGTATCACAGATTTGAAAGGGACTCCTAAAGAAGGGCAATTATATGTTGCATGTTCCAGAGTAAGCAAACCAGACAATCTCTACATCAACACTGACAAAGAAACAACAAGAAATACTGTTTACCCACAAGCATAAAGACAATACATATATTAGAAATCACACCTACTCATTACTTTCCAGATCACCAGACTGGGCCACAGCAGCGCGTGGCAGGGGATTGCTAGTAATAATAATAATAATAATAATAATAATAATAGGTTGCTGTAAGTTTTTTTGGGCGGTATGGTCATGTTCCAGAAGCATTATCTCCTAATGTTCCGCCTGCATCTGTGGCAGGCATCCTCAGAGGTTGTGAGGTCTCAGATGTTTTATTTCCTGATGTTTCAGGAAATAATGCTTCTGGAACATGGCCATACAGCCTGGAAAACTTGCAGCAATCCAGTGATTCCAGCCATGAAAGCCTTCAACAACACAATAATAATTGGCTTTATTTATATCCTGCTCCCTCTCCCTGAAGGGATTCGGAGCGGCTTACAGCAAACACACAAATACAGTAAATAATATAACGTGGACAATAATCACATATCAGTTAATACAACAAAATGACACAATAGCATAAAGATTAATAAATAATGAGTTTAAAAACTACTTTGATTCTTTAAAAGCAATGGAAATAAAAACTGTTTAAAACCAGGATATCCAGTATTGTGAATTATAGTTCTAAAGGCCATTCAAAGTCCTGTCTGCTAAGGTGGGTGATGCTCTTTGTTGTTTATTTGTTCAGTCGCTTCTGACTCTTCGTGACATCATGGAACAGCCCACACCAGAGCTCCCTGTCAGCCATCACCACCCCCAGCTTCTTAAGGGTCAAGCCAGTCACTTCAAGGATACCGTCCATACATCTTGCCTTTGGTCGTCCCTTCTTCCTTTTTCCTTCCATTTTCCCCTGCATCATTATCTTCTCCAAGCTTTCCTGTCTTCTCATGTGGCCAGAGTACTTCATCTTTGCCTCTAATATCCTTCCCTTCTGTGGATGACCCTATACCCTGATCATCCTTATGACTCACCAAGAGGACCTCTGTCTTGTCTGTATTAAGCTTAAGTTTGTTGTCCCACATCCAGCCAACGGCTGTTAGGAATTGTGGGAGTGAAGTACAAAACATCCGGAGGGCCCAAGTTTTCCTATACCTGTTCCACAGAACTAAGCTCCATATTAAGAGCTGTTCGAAAAAATGTTGGAGGGTTTACATGTGGTGACAATGTAAATCTGTACAGAGATTCTGGGGGAAAGTTATAATAGAGATAGAAAGCATTATGAAGAAAA